TTTTCCAAGCATTTGCAGAGATGATGCAGTCAAGATCACGAGCGACTTTGAGCTATCGGCCACAGGCTAATGGACAGCAGGAACGCTCGGTGAAGTCGGCGATGGGATCCGTACGGGTGTACGCGGAAGACCCTCTACAGCAAGATTGGGACGAAATCGCGGAGAAGCTAGTATTTGCTATTAATACTACTCAAGACACTACGAGGAAGGAAACGCCGTTCTACCTCGTTCATGGTTGGGATGCGCAGTCGACGTTGCGGGCAATGTCGTCATCACTCAAACGAGGACTCGGCAAGCAGTCTGACGCACTGGCGTGGCGGCGCGAGATCAATCGACAACATGAGGTCGCCCTCACTATGGCCAAAGATTATCAGGCTGTAGAAAAGGAGCGAAGGGCTAAAAAGCATAATGAGGCCCTGAGTCGACTGGAAAAAGCTGCTGTACCTCAACCAAGTGGAAACGAACACTCGGCGAACCCTCCAGAAGCTTCGGAAGAGATGGAAGATCCTGCAAGAGCTCCACCGAGATCTCTTTTTGAGATTGGGAGCCGGGCGTGGTTGTACATGGAACGCGTCAAACCGGGCTTGACGAAGAAATTAGCTCACCAATGGCATGGACCTTTTCGGATCAAGCGCAAGGTGGAAGAGTTTGCGTACGAGCTGGAACTGCCTGATCGAAGTGGGTATCGCTTTTACCCAGTAGTGCATGTGTCAAGACTTAAGGCTGTCAACGAATTCAACAGTCGACCGAACACTCGGTTGGTACTTGACGCGACTAATGAAGCAAGACTCGACTTCGATGAGGAACTACTGCCTGAGGACAGCTGGGAACCAGACCAAGTTGCCGGTGAATATGAAGTCGAGGCCATCCTCGACGACAGAACACCACTAACGACGAGCACGGAGCGTGCTGTACGCGAGTTCAAAGTCAAGTGGGTTGGCTATGAAGATACAACTTGGGAACCATCATCAAACTTGTCATGTGGAGGTCTGCTGTACGACTATTTGCGAGCCAAGAAGAGCGAGAATCGGCTGCAGATGACGCAAGTGGCGGACGAAGACTAGCGTGACTGGATCACGTGTGAACTGTCCACAGGGCGATGCAGCCTGTGGTAACAGACGAAAAACGTTACGGCAACAACAAATTGTATATGCATTTGAAGAACAACATGAACATGATTACGCTGTGGAAGTGGATTAAGAATAAGAAAACATGAATGCCGACCGGGGAGCAACCACTGAAAGCGAAGTCACGCGGGATACCTCAACAGTTAGCGGAGATGCTGGAGAACGTCGTGGAACGTGCGACGAGGACATCATCGAAACCAACAGCAGTCTCGAGGCGACGTTGAGTGTGTACATCGCCGTGGAGAGGAGGCGCAACGCTGAGCTGCACTTGATGACGAGCCATTGCAGTCAAGTACGGAATTATCGAGGTCATCATGTGATCGACCGATGCCTCAGTACTTTCAGCCAGCATGGCGCGCAGCGAATCTTCGGTGAGTGGTGGTGTACCACCAACAGGCGCAGGAGGAGCAGCAGGAGCCATCTCCGCGGATTCAGCGACGACGGGGAGTGCTGCAGGAGCTACCGCAGGGAGTGAAGAGTCTGGGGCAGGAAGCGCCGAAGGATCAGTTGATGACGCCGCTGTCGGAGGAAGTGAAGCAGACTGAGGGACGTTCGAACCCTCGGCCTTGCCCTCCTGAGAAACAAGTCGAGTAATGCGAGATGATGAGCAAGGTGCCGATGATTCAAGAGAAGGATGAGCTGACGTACCTCCAGTCGCGACGTCTACGAGGATTGAGACGCTGAAAAGCGTCGGACACGGCTCGATTCAGACGCTTGGACATACGGTGGCGAGATGGTGAATTGAAGAATGAAGAAATGTCACAACGGGCACCAGTACCGTGGCTTCCATTGCGACAGGGGCAGTTGTGGTGTAGTGATTTCTCCGTGGTTGCGGATTATCACCCGTCGACAAAGACGTGACACCGCCCAAGTTGTTCAAGCGACGAACCCTCGGTCGGGTGATGTACGGAGACGCCAAGGTGCAAGGGACTCGACGGCGTCACCTCCGAGTTTTCAACAAGTATCGGATACGGCCCTATGTCACTGAATCCAGGCTGTCCTTATTATTAATAATGGACTGGCCGGATTCGCATTCAGCGGACCATCTACGGTACGAACCCTCAGTGGCGGTTGGGATGAGTTCGCGGAATACTCAGCGACCTTTGGAAGACACGTTAACCGTCTGGGACAGGGCGCGGACCGTTAAAGATGCTCATGCGACAGTGCAGACGACGCTTGGCATGCAAGAAGATCCATAACGGATCATTGTTCACTTGATATTTGTATACTTGATTAGGACTTCTTATTAGGAATAGACCCGAAAGGGTAAGCTTAAATACAGAACAGAATTTCCACTCAAGCACACAGAGCGACGTCCGGCTTCAAGGTAAGCGTCAGGTCAAGCTTGTTTGAGTGTGTTATGCCTGTCGGTGAGCTCGAAGCTCTGTAGCGAGGGTTCATCCGGCAAGGCCAAGAGACTTTGTGTATTGGCCGATTATTATCGGGAGGTTTTACGTGACGGCTTATTGTTGCCTATTTGCACGACTGGGAGTGCTTGAATTGCCTCCCTTTTATTTCTTCCAGCCGAGTGTTGAACACTCGGTGATCTCGTAAAAGGCTTACCCGTGCCTGGTACCCTTCCGCTGTTGGGACCACGAGGATTCAAAACACCTGCTAGCTTTGCTCGTGCTAGTAGCGTGTTCTTATTTTACTGGTTGGCCTATATAAGTAGTTTACAAGGTCCAGTTTGTCCCGGTGCAAGGGCAGAACTGGGGTCTTCAGGTCCGCCCGAACGATCGTTTACTATCCTAGTAGACGTATTGTTGTGGGAACATCCTAACTACATCTGTAGCTAGAGTTCACGTGGGATTTCCAACACCACACTGCAGCATGGCAGCTGGTGTAAGCGGGGGAATACCTCGAGAACGGCGAAGAGATTAATAATAGTCGATCACTAGATATGGTCCCAAAATACACAAAAGTTCTTGAAATGTCGAAATATCCATCCGGTAATACTTCTTGAACGCTGACTCTTTCAAAAGAGTTGTGGCATGCACTTTCCAGGAGATTCTGTCGCGGACAACGGGGTCCTTCTTTCTGCCTATAAGTCGTTTAAAGATGACCAAGCAGATTAGCAATCCAGACAGCTCGTCTTCCGCTTTCCAGCCACGCCGCCGACGCGCAGGAGGGATACATCGCTTATGCGTGGAGAACGGGGAAGATTGCCTTGGGACTGGGCTCATAGTAGAAATTCAGCGGATACGATGAGTGTTCAGAACAAACGGTATTCATATTTTGTTTTGAACGCATGCGTTTTGGGTACTATTTTTGCAACAAAAAAGTAGCCAATCAAATTGCAAAGTGTCCGAAAACGCATGCGTGCACTCCGGTTGGGAACGGGCCTTAGCACGGCATTAGTCTAAACTACCGCGGCGTAGCGGCGGCGCTCGGCTAGCTACTTTACATTGTATAGTATACAATACGACGTACACTCCTGGACACAATTATACGGCCATCTCGTCAAGTGCCCATAACTCAGTCAATTTTTATTATTTGACGGTGCGGTTTTCACACAAGTTGCAAAACATGCTTCAAAATTGCAAGGATGTGCTAACGCTCGCGGTTTTGCACTTTATAGGGAGGCAGGCTCACATACAAAAAAGAGATTTGTCAGGCTGGACACAATTTACGGCCACCATCGGCCCAATACAAAAACCTATATAAAATAAAACATGTGTCATTTTGGCTGACTAGAAATTTGTATGGGCTGAGTTTGTGAGGGCGATTAAATGGACACTAGGGATCGAGAGCTTAAATTTGCTGCATGGGGGTGTACACAATACTGTTATATGTAACTTGTTGCACTCGCACCTCTGCTTGATCAATATTGATGGAGAATTTTTAAATGTAAGATCGCGACGACTACACGGTGTTCTCCATATGATCTGCTATAGTAAAAAATGCGGATGGGTCTATTGACGCTAGCTAAAAGTTCTCCATCAATATCGATCAAGCAGATGTGCGAGTGCAACACGTTTCATATAATACTATTGTGTACACCCCGATGCAACTACTTTGAGCTCTAAATCCCTAGTGTCCATTTAATCGCCCCCAGAAACTCAGCCCATACAAATTTCTAGTCAGCCAAAATGACACATGTTTTATTTTATATAGGTTTTTGTATTGGGCCGATGGTGGCCGTAAATTGTGTCCAGCCTGACAAATCTCTTTTTTGTATGTGAGCCTGCCTCCCTATAAAGTGCAAAACCGCGAGCGTTAGCACATCCTTGCAATTTTGAAGCATGTTTTGCAACTTGTGTGAAAACCGCACCGTCAAATAATAAAAATTGACTGAGTTATGTATAATTGTGTCCAGGAGTGTAGTACTTTTCACAGTACATGTACTACTCTGTAGTACAGTACTTACCGCATATTTCAATAAGCCAATACCGACATAATACCGACCAATCAGATACAGGATCTGATGAGTCGACCATGGCATGACCGGATCGCACTCGGCGATACATACTACATACCATCGAGTCGTCGGCTTCGGGATCGGCACCAAGACTCCTGCCACTATCCCGCTGCGACGACGCCTGGCGCTACCTCTGCGACAACTACACCGGCTGCCGTCTAAGCTAGAGCTACTCCTGCTGGAGGGCTCGGCCAACCACCCCGGTCCGTACGCCCTGCCCCACTGCTGGGGTGGTGCTGTCTACGTATTAATAGTCGCCAACGCCGAAGTCTAAATCCCCTCGACTGACTCCAGCGACTGTCAAATCTCCCCTTCACATTTTTAGCTGTTGCAATGGATACGTTTGGAGATTTTCGTCTCCTCTCAAACATTACGAAAGGGAAAACAAACGGACGTATTTAGACGTCAGTCAGATCATGTACTGCGATAATAATTGCAGCTCAAATACCGAGTGTTTATGGATTGTACATGAAGTCCGCCAGGTACTGGGTCAGCTTCTCCGGCCTTGGGACCTTGGCGAAGCCCTGCTCATAGCCATACTCAGCCACAGCCTCAGCAATCTTCAGCGACACGCTGCGGATGTTGGAGAGCGGCGGGTAGACGCAGCCAGTCTCCAGATCAGCGGGGGTCGTGAGGCCAGCCAGCGTCTTGGCGGCAATTATCATGATCTCGTCGTTTACGTGAGTCAGACCAGCCGCAACGACACCCAAACCAATACCAGGGAACACGTACGAGTTGTTGCCCTGGCCAGGCACGTAACGCTTGCCGTTGTATACAACGGGGTCGAACGGACTGCCACTGGCGAAGATGCACTTGCCGTTCGTGAATGTGTACGCCTCCTCAGCCGTGCACTCGGCCTTGGAGGTGGGGTTGCTCAGAGCGAAGATGATAGGACGCTCGTTCAGCTCACTCATCTTCTCGCACACCTCCTTGGTAAAGGTCTTAGGGATGGTGCACACACCGATCAGAGCAGTAGGTTTGATCTGCTCAATGGCAGACACGAGGTCAGGGCATGCGGGTGCGTCGTGGGCGAACAGCAGCTTGTGATGCTGCAGAGATTCCTTGCGGGACTCGACAATCAGACCGCGCGAGTCCACCAGCCAGATCTGCTTGCGAGACTCCTCGACTCTCTTGCCAGTCTCCTGAGCGATAGCTTGAGCAATCAGCTCAGCAATACCGGTACCGGCCTCACCGGCGCCAAGGAATAAGAAGGTCTGCTCCGAGATGGTTTTGCCCGACAGAGGCACAGCCGCCAGCAGGCCACCAAGGACAACCGAGGCTGTGCCCTGGATGTCGTCGTTGAACGTGCAGTGCGTGTTCTGGTATTTACGCAGCAGGTGGAAAGCGGTGGAGTTGCCAAAGTCTTCGAACTGTAGCAAAACGTTGTCGCCGTACTTTGCCTTAGCAGCGTTCATGAATTCTTCCACGAGCTGCTCGAACTTCTCGCCACGGACACGCTTCTGACGCAGACCAATATAGAACGGGTCGGCCAGATACTCCTCGTTGTTTGTACCGCAGTCGAGCACGACAGGCAAACACATCTGGGGAGGCACGCCAGCGCAGGCCGTGTACAGAGCCAGCTTGCCGACAGGGATACCCATGCCGTTGGCACCCTGATCACCCAGACCAAGAATTCGCTCACCGTCAGTGAAGCAAATGGCACGGATGTCCTTCTCCGGCCAGTTATCGAGGATCTCAGCGACATGTCCAATGTCATTTACCGAGATAAAAAGACCGCGCGGGTGTTGAGTGTAGTTGTGACTGAATTCCTGGCAACCCTGACCGACGGTGGGCGTGTACACGATCGGCATAAGCTCGGGTGTGTGCTCAACGAGCATACGGTAGTACACGTCCTCGTTGGTGTTTTGCATGCTCTGCATGAAGATGTACTTCTCAATCGGCGACGTCTTGCGGCGGATGGCGGCCATGGCGCGCTCCGTCTCGAACTCAGTCGTGGTCACGGCGGCAGGCAGCAGACCGCGCAGACCAAGCTGCTTGCGCTGCTCCTCCGTGAAGGCCAATGCCTTGTTGGTGATGGGCGTGCGCATAATAGTGTATCCGGTGGAAGCCATGTTAGAGGTGATCGATAGGAAGCGTTTTGCACGAGTTGGCAAATACAAGAATGAAAGGCTAGCCACGTCACTGTGAAGGGGCGCGACGGCACAAACTTGGAAATTGTAAGATGCTTACAAATTACAGGTGGTTTTCACCGTCACATGAATTCACAAACGGTGCATAAAGTAGACCTCAAAACTACATTCCAGGTTTTTCAAAATTGCCCAGCGACGTGGATGGGTTTTAAAGCACGCTGGGCTGTACTCATACTAAAAACATGTAGATTCGATAAGAGATTAGTAGATTTAGACATTATACGGTCCATTAGCCGTGGAACCGCTTTATCAGATTTAGAAATATATCAAGGTCGAGTAAACGAGCTATTGCTAGGATCATAAAGTGTACATATGCAGACCCACTATCTCCAAGTATCAATGTGAGGAAGCATGTCAATTTGTAAAAGCGGTAAATATTTCCTACATCCGACTCCGTGAACCCCAGGTGAAACTATCATAATGAATTTACAGTTATGCTTTTTCTAGCTTACTCATTTTTATCGAGTATGAAACACTAGGTTTTATTTAGATATCTGTCTTCTTCGCGGAGCCGCAATTGCAGGCTACTTCTTCTAATAGTTTTGACTCGGACGATCTGTGATATTGCAATGGTGTTCTTTTCAATCCTGAAAAAATGATTCTGATGGCATCAATTTTTGATGCCAAACGTTAGCTAGACGTATTATTGAAATTACGTACTCTGGAACTAACTAAAAGTGCTAGACTTTTTTTTCACATTTTGGCCACTACAATTCTTTAAATGCGATCAAAATTGGTCAATCAACGCAGCGCGTCGATTCCCGGTCTTTTTGTTTAAATCGGACCAAAATTGACACGTTGGCGAAAAATAACGCCCTGGCGGGGTGGGGTGGCACTAACTATAAGAACAAAAACGATTTTTGCGTTTTTATCGTTTAAAGGCGTTTGTTCCAAGCTGTTCCCATGCTGTATGTCTTGCCTAAAGCTAGGTGCACTAACCGACGCAGTTAAACGTAATTTGGCGCACTAGATGAAGAATGCGCGCCCCGAACGCTTCATATGGAAGTTAGCTCGAAAACGAACCTTGACTCTCATTCTAAGGCTTTCCTGGCAGTGTTAAAGTAACTATAAAGCAACTACGTTGGTTGTACGCTGCGACTAGAGTCTGGCTACCGCTTTACATCATTCTCTCGTAAAAAACATGATTTTGGCGAATAAGCCGCAGCTCACAGCTCTTTAGCCAATATTATACTTGGTTATAGTATTGAATGGAGTTGATGAGAGGGTGAAACATGAATAGAGCCGCCCTAGGGTAGATACATGTACTCTATCGCATTTAATCGCATTTAACCACTGGGTACCTTCCAAAATCTACCTAAAATGTCGCGCATTAAAGTTTAATCACGATGAATTGTTTGGTGATACCACTTTTTGGTCTCATCAAACAATTCTAAAACGACTTTTAAGTAGCAATATGATTAAACACATGACTGAACGTCACTATGCCCGAAGGTCGCGTTCCAACAACCGTTTTGGTGTGCATTGAACCGATCTGTAATCGATTTTAAATTACCTATTAAACTGATTAAACCGTTTATATGGGTTTGCCAGCAGACATTACAAGCAGTACATGTAGATACTTGTTAATTTACTTAAAGCCATTTCTTGTGAGTAGAATACTCCTCCGAACCGAGCGAGCCAGGGTTTCCTAGCCAAGTCCTACATGAAGAACATTGAGCGCTCACTCTTATTTTAGTGCGCCGATTTACGTTAAACTACATCGGTAGACACTCCAAACTGTGTAAAAGAGCACTACATACCAACAGCTAGGAACTAACACCTATTGTCGATTAAAACGCAAATGTGCGCCTTCGTTCTTTTACTTTGTGCCGGCCCCAAAGGAGTTTTTTTTCTGCAGCTTCACGCCCCGATTTCCAAACAACAGATTTTTTCCGTTTCATTTCAAATAACCCACTGGGTGCTCCGTGAAACGACTCGGTCCACGTCGCCGCGTCAGCAGTAGCCTGACTTTGTGCAAACCGTGAACAGATCGTCCACAGTTGGTAATAAATGTATTTAAACATGTTCTATTAGTAATAACGTTGCTGGTCACCTGTGGAGCGCCAAGGATACACAAGAGAGAAGGTTTGTTGTGATGCCGAGAGTTCAAGCTTGACTGTGCGGTAAAACTGTACAGCGGGCGGCTAATTTGCGCGCGGCAGGTATTCGAATTATCTTGTGCTAGCCTGTACCGGCACAGTGTACGCAGTGGGATCAACTCCTCCATTTCATGAACATGTATTAATATCGGTCCGTTATTAAACTGTAAAACGGATGCTGTTACAGTAATGCACTGACGAGGTGGTGTCAACGATGTTGATTCAGCTAAAGCGATTAGAAAGCCTTTAAAGTGGACAGCAACAGGCGGTCAAATCGTGATCCAAATATACTTGTACTGTAGTACAAGTTGTACAGCCTGCAAAGAGGGCTACTGCAAAGTCTGCAGTGACCGTCGGGAAGCCACTTTTTTTTCACTATCCCGAGGAAATACTACAGTCGTGCACCTCCAATTCGACAGGGCGGATCATATCAACAGGGCCAGGGCATAAGTGCACAACGTAAAGAAAAAAACAAAAGCAAATCCAGTGCACTGATATTTTATTTGTTAATTCAGTACAAAATTTACTCTAATCTTCTGCATAATCTTGGCGTCAGACGCGCGAATCGCGGCGCGCAACAGCGCTTCCGGTCGTGATAGGCATCCGGCAAGGCGGCAACGTCCGCCGACCGCTTAAGAATACTCTGGACGGTAGTGCGCTTTACTTCTTGGGGGGTCTTAAAGCGCTCCGTTGCCCAACGAGCAAGTTCGGAGTGAGAGCAGAGCATGCAGGATCTGACTTATGCTTCTCGCACAAAGACTGTTTTTGTGCTAGAGTTAGGGACATGTAGGAGGAAGGGCGATGTCCCATTGTCTTCGGCGGTAAAAATCAAAGTGTGTGTTTGTATGAAGACGTCCGATCCAAAATTAAAAATCAGATCGATGCGGCGTGTCATCCGAGGGGAAAACCGTTGAGGTTAATTGCTAGGGTGGTGATGGGCAAAGGTAATTGCGCATCCGATTCGCGTAATCATAAAATCTGGCAGGGTATCGACTGATACCGGTGTCGAATTGAAGGTGCACGACTGTACCCACAGCTGTACCTTCACAAGGGTACCATCGCGGCTGCATCGTGAGCGTGGGTGCGGGTATGTATATAATTCCAGAACATCACGTTAAATGGAACGTGATGTTCTGGAATTATATACATACCCGCACCCGTCTTTGGAAGGACGGGTCTTCTGGAACGACTATCATAGCTGTGATACCTACATGTAGACAAGCGCCGCCGCTACCCAGTAGTTGTTTACATGCAGTCCATTGTGTCGCTTCGCTTCGGCGGAATATTTGTATGTTCTTGTTTATTGATGAAACTGAAAATTCGCTTACAGTGAAAAAAACATTTTACTGTAAATATTTTTTTTCAATGTCCTTAAAAATTATGTTTACTGTAAACGAACTCTTCAATTTCCTCCAACAAATGACTTTTACTGTAAGCGATTTTTTCAATTTCCTTATAGGGTTAATCAGAGTACACAATTAACTACCAAGCGCAAAATGTTTTTACCCTCCCCTACAATGACCGAACCTTCAGCACGTTGCTTGAACACTTTTACTGTTGCGGGGTACAGGCCAAGTGTACCCAAGGTTGCATGAAGTGTGACCTGTCACCTGGTACATGGTACCATGGGATATCGAGGCCCATTGTCTAACAACATAGCTTCAATTTAAATGACTTATAGTGTGTATATTGAACTCAAGCTTAGCCTACCTATAAATACATTCAGTTTCCAACTTACCTTTAACTGTTTACTTTGCTCTCTTTGACAAGGGAGCCGTGGGCTGCTGTTCACTTAGAGTTTGTATACTCTCGGAAGCTGACTTTCTCAAGCGCAAGGTGTTGTGTGACGTCCCGTCACACTTGGTAGGACTTGTAGTCCATCCACGCAACGTGGGTAGACTAACTGAACCTCCAAAGTTCGTCCATGGATCGGAACATCTTTTCTCACCTGAACGACTCTCAGTTCGTGTCGGTTCGGAAGATGGCAGGCATCTTCGGAATGGAGCCTGGTGGCGTCAACACCGGCCGAGCAGGTCGAACGTGTCAACGCGTTTAACACTTATGAGCAAGGGATCATCGCCCGCTTGCAGGGAAACCTGCAAGCGCCGGCGGCTGAAGGGAGCCGCCTCACCCGAAGTGCGGTGTAGTGATTTCTCCAGATAATCGCCCATCGACAAAGATGCGGCACCGCCCAAGATGTTCAAGCGACGAACCCTCGGTCATGTGATGTCCAGTGACGACAAGGTGCAAGAGATTCGACGGCGTCACTACCGAACTTTAAACGGATATTGGATACGGTCCATATGTCACTGAATCCAGGCTGTCCTTATTACTAATAATGGACTGGCCGGATTCGCATTCAGCGGCCAAGAACTGACCATCTACGGTACGAACCCTCGGTGGCGGTTGGATTGAGTTCGCGGAAGACTCAGCAACCCTTTGAAGGCATGTTCATCGTCTGGGACAGGGCGCGAGCCGTTAAAGATGCTTAAGCGACGGTGCAGACGACGCTTAGCGTACAAGAAGATCCATAACGGATCATTGTTCACTTGAAATTTGTAAACTTGATTAGGACTTCTTATTAGGAATAGACCCGAAAGGGTAAACATGAATACAGAACAGAATTTCCACTCAAGCACACAGAGCGACGTCCGGCTTCAAGGCAAGCGTCTGGTCAAGCTTGTTTGAATGTGTTATGCATGTCAGTGAGCTCGAAGCTCTGTAGCGAGGGTTCATCCGGCAAGGCCAAGAGATTGTGTATTTTGGCCGATTACTATCGGGAGGTTTTACTTGACGGCTTATTGTTGCCTATTTGCACGACTG